GCCACTATGCCCAGCTAATTTTGTATTTTTAGTAGCGATGGGGTTTCACTGTGTTGGCCAGGCTGGTCTCGAATTCCTGGCCTCAAGTGATCTGCCTGCCTCAGCCTTCCAAAGTGCTGGGATTACAGGCGTGAGTACTGCGCCCGGCCTGATGTCTCTTTAGTACTGATTCTTCTCTCTGTACAAAGAATCATTGAGCCAAAGCAAACTTGGAAAATTATCTAGGCTGACACTCACATTTAACTCATGGGAAACTGAGGCTCAGAGAAGTCAAATGAGCTTTCTGAGTTTATGGAGTTTCCCTCTGACAGCTGAGGGAGCTTTTAATTTCCAATCTAGTGCTCTTTCCCTGAGTATATAGTATAATTGTTAAAAGCCACTTACTGGCTATTTGGCCCTGGGCAAATTACTTTTTCTCATGTGTATGTATGTATATATATACATACATACGCACACACACACACACACAGACACAAATTTTGGTAGAGAAAGGGGTCTCACTGCATTGCCTAGGCTGGTCTCAAACTCCTGTCCTCAAGTGATTCCCCCACCTAAAGTGCTGTGCCTAGCAGACCCTCAACAAATTACTTAACCTCTCTGTTCCTCAGTTTTCTAGTAAAAAATGGGCCTAGGCCAGGTGTGGTGGCTCACACCTGTAATCCCAGCACTTTGGGAGGCTGAGGTTGGGAAGATCATTTGTGCCCAGGAGTCCAAGACCAGCCCTGGCAACATAGGAAGACCCTGTCTCTACAAAAAAAAAATTTTTTTTTTAATTAGCTGGGCATGGTGGCACATGCCTGTAGTTCCAGCTACTGGGGAGGCTGATGTGGGAGAATTGCTTGAGCCTGGGAGGTGGAGGCTGCAGTGAGCCGTGGTAGCACCATTGCACTCTAGTCTGGGTGACGGCAAGACGCTGTCTCAAAACAAAACAAAAACTCCAAACCAAAAATGGCTCTAATAATAGTACCTTTCTCATGGAGTTGTCAGGAGGATAAGATGCAAAGTGTTAGTTCCTGCAGCATAATGAAAACTAGATAAGTGTTTGCTGTTATTTTATTTTTAAAATGTATTTTATTTTGGATCCAGGGGTACATGTGCAGATATCTTGTGTAATGGTGGGGTTGGGCATCTAGTGTACCCAGCACCCAAATGGTGACCATTGTACCCAGCAGGTCAGCTTTCACCCCTCCCCCTGTTTGCTGTTATTATTGCTGATCCAGTTAACTATAGGCTATGGATTGAAAGCTTCCTCACTTTTTTGTCCTTTTGGTATCTAAAATAGGAGGTATAATCTGCCTTACCTGAAATGCTGTTGATGAGTTGTGCTTCCAGAATATAACATCTTGGCTTGGGGATAAACAAGGGCTGGCCGGGCGCGGTGGCTCAAGACTGTAATCCCAGCACTTTGGGAGGCCGAGGCGGGTGGATCACAAGGTCAGGAGATCGAGACCATCCTGGTCAACATGGTGAAACCCCGTCTCTACTAAAAATACAAAAAATCAGCTGGGCATGGTGGCGCGTGCCTGTAATCCCAGCTACTCAGGAGGCTGAGGCAGGAGAATTGCCTGAACCCAGGAGGCGGAGGTTGCGGTGAGCCGAGATCGCGCCATTGCACTCCAGCCTGGGTAACATGAGTGAAACTCCGTCTCAAAAAAAAAAAAAAAAAAAAACAAGGGCTGTGGCTTCTCTGTGCTGGGGGTTGGATTATAGCTGGGCTGCTTATTAACTCTATTTGGAGAAGTCACTCATACTCTTCAAGCCCCATTTTCTTACCTGTCAGATAGGATGATGCCAAACTTGCAAGGTTGTTTTAAGAAGGAAACGGAATATGTTCGGCTCAGTAAGTAGCAGCTGGTATGGGTATTCTTTTTTTAATCTTGATTTTTTTTTGAGATGGAGTCTCACTCTGTGCCTAAGCTGGAGTGCAGTGGCGCAGTCTTGGCTCACTACAGCCTCTGTCTCCTGGGTTCTAGCAGTTCCTCTGCCTCAGCCTCCTGAGTAGCTGGGACTACAGGCACACACTACCATGCTGGGCTAATTTTTGTATTTTTAGTAAAGAAGGGGTTTCACCATGTTGGCCAGGCTGGTCTTGAACTCCTGACCTCAAGTTATCCATCCACCTTGGCCTCCCAAAGTGCCAGAATTGCAGGTGTGAGCCACTGCTCCTGGTCTCTGGAAAGTCTTTTGACATACTTTGCCTTGAATTTTGTGTGATTCCTGTGGCTGTGATCTTACTTTCATGTTCTTTAATGGAGAATTTGTACCTGCAGATGGGCTTTGGACATTTTGTAGTTAAGACAGATGCAGTGCTGTGTTTGGGCAGCTGTGACGGCTAAGTGGTTGATAAAGAAAACACGCCCGGCTTTGGGGCAGGAAGTTCTGAATTACAAGGCTGAGCAAATGTGGTGTGCCAGTCTGTAATGATGATGGGATTCCAGTGGGCACATCCTCTGGGGGTTGTGGTCATTGAAATACATTGATATGGGAGCTCTTTAAAGGCTTCGCGTTTGCTGACTCTAGTCCTTTCAGAGTGTAGTGCTATCTAGAGAATGATTTCACAGATTGGTCAAGGAGTTTAACTGCATTTTACTTAAACTTCATTTAGAAACAGATACCTTAACACCTGTGGCATTTGTGGATTTAGAAAAACAGTGTTGGACTGGAGCCTGCTTCACTCTGTTTTTTTTGTTTGTTCATTCGTTTGTTTTTGAGACAGAGTTTCGCTCTTGTCCAGGCCGGAGTGCAGTGGCACGATCTCGGCTCACTGTAACCTCTGCCTCCCAGGTTCAAGTGATTCTCCTGCCTCAGCCTCCTAAGTAGCTGGGATTACAGGCGTGTGCCACTATGCCCAGCTAATTTTGTATTTTTAGTAGAGACAGGGTTTCACCATGTTGGCCAGGCCAGTCTCAACCTGACCTCAGGTAATCCACATGCCTCGGTCTCCCAAAGTGCTGGGATTACAAGTGTGAGCCACTATGCCAGCCTCACCCTGTTGATTAGCTGAGAGTATCCCCCCTCCTCAGATGAAGCAGGCAGGACTCCTGGCATGGGGGGGTGGGTTGGGGTGTGTTCAGTCATAGTCTTCTTGAAGGACCTGGGGTCACCTAGGGGTTTTGAAGGCGAGATTGGTAGATAAGAGGAAAGGGGTCCCATGGGAGCACAGTGAGGCGTCAGTTCAGAAATTACAGCAACAGGAAAAATGCCTAAGGGCAGGAATGAAATAACAGAAGACATGAGTGTTTATAGCAAAGTACAGAAGAGACAGAAAAGGTGGGAAAAGAATAAAGAGGTAGCAGAGAGAGACAAGAAGTTTACAAAGTGCCGAGGCAGATAAGGTCAGCTTGGGGAGGCAGGAGACAGGCCTTGTGGTGGGGGGTGGGCTGCGTGCCCACAATTCGTAATCTCAGCCTGAAAGACTTCGTTCCTGCAAGGCACCTTCTCTGGTCATGCTGGGGAAGGTACAGGGTTGGCTCTTCTGTCGATAACTGAGACCAGGCCCTCCTCCCTGTAGACTTTGAGTGAAGAACAGCAGTACCCTGGCAGGAGCGCTGTAATGCATTCAAGCACCCCCTGTTCTCTTCTCAGGTTGAATGTCTCCATTGAATGTAAGCGAGTGTCTGGACTAGACCCTGCCACCGTGGATTGGGCCTTCGACCTGACCAAAACGAATATGCAAACCATGTAAGCGTATCCTGACCAGGGGAGCCTAGTTCCTCTCCCAGCTTCCCTTTCTGACTGCTCCCAAATTCCTCAGGTATGAGCAGAGCGAGTGGGGCTGGAAGGACCGAGAGAAACGGGAGGAAATGACAGATGACCGAGCCTGGTACCTCATTGCTTGGGAAAACAGTTCTGTCCCTGTTGCCTTTTCTCACTTCCGGTTTGACGTGGAGTGCGGGGATGAAGTCCTGTACTGGTAGGAGCCATGGCTTGGGGGAGGTCGGGGAGGGAGACCCTGGTGAGTCCAGGCACTCACTCCAGCCTACCTAGGTCTATGGGCTGCCAAGAACTGCATTCTCCTCTGCCAGACCTTATAGCCTCTTCGTGCTCATCCTGCAAGCTCACCTCTCTGCTTTCTTCAACTAGCTATGAAGTGCAGTTGGAAAGCAAGGTACGGCGGAAAGGCCTGGGGAAGTTCCTCATACAGATCCTGCAGCTCATGGCCAACAGGTAAGGCCCCTGCTTCTTAGGAGGCCTGTGCAGCACTCAGTTGGAAGGAGCTGTCACTGAGGCGCTTGCTATTCTTTGAGCTTCCTTGGAGGGCCGGGCTCCTAGGCATGTTTTGTGAGAAAGGTGTCTTAGAACCCTCTCAGTAAGACACTGTCTGCCTTGTTATGACTCCAGATTTTGTATGTTCACCTCAGCGAAGCAACATTTTTTGAGTTCCTAATCTGTGCCACATTCTGTACCTAAGTAATAGGGCTACAGAGGGAAAGTGGGAAAGATCCCTGCTCTGGAAGAAGCCAGTCTGGTCGGGGCTGATGCCTCTGCAGTCTCATCAACTTGTGAAGGAGGGAAGCAGTGAGTGCTGTGGGGGTCCAAGACCTCTGGAGGCTAGAGGCCAAATTCAGGAACACTTCTTTGGGTGAAAGGGAAGTAATAGAGACAGAAAAGAAAGGAAGCGTGACCTTAATCTCTGTTTCTCCTTTTTTTTTTTCCCAAGACAGTCTCACTCTGTCACCTAGGCTGGAGTGCAATGGTGTGATCATATCTCACTGTAGCCTCTACCTCCAAGGCTCAAGCAGTCCTTTGGCCCCAGCCTCCAGAGTAGCTGGGACTATAGGCATATGCCACCATACTGGGCTAATTTTTAAAATTTTTTAAATGTTTTGTAGCGACAGGGTCCCACACTGTTGTCCAGTCTGGTCTCCAACTACTGGGCTCAAGTGATCTTCCCACCTCAGCCTCCCAAAGTGCTGGGATTACAAATGCGAGCCACCATGCCCAGTCATGTTTCTCTTTCTAAAAGGTACTTGCTCTGCTTTCTTCCAGCACACAGATGAAGAAGGTTATGTTAACAGTATTTAAACACAATCATGGCGCCTACCAGTTCTTCAGAGAAGCGTTGCAGTAAGGAGCTGGGTGTGGGTCCTTCTGGGTGGTAGGTGGGCCTGCTGAGGGCCATTTTTCTGGTCCTGGCCCCCACTCATCCTGATATCTGAGCTCACAGTCCAGGTCCATGGGGGTTCAGGTTTGGGGAGATGGTATGGTAGTGCCCTCTGATTTGGTCCCCTGCCCACCTCCTGCACCTTCATCCTAAGGGCCTTATCAGTGTGGCTGGTAGAAAAGTCCTCGGGCCAGGGAGGAAGGCATACATATTCAGCTCCCTGCCACCAACCCTTCTCTCCTGCCTGCCTTGCAGATTTGAAATTGATGACTCTTCCCCCAGCATGTCCGGTTGCTGTGGGGAGGATTGCTCCTATGAGATCCTGAGCCGGAGGACCAAGTTTGGGGACAGTCAACACTCCCACGCGGGTGGGCACTGTGGTGGCTGCTGCCACTGAACTCTCAGAGCCACTTGCAAGTCACAGTGCTCTCTCCTAAAGCCTTTCCTCTTTCCTGGTCTCTCCGTTTGCCAGGTGCCCTCAGGGCTGTAACCTCCCCAGCCCTGCACGTGCCAGGCTGCAGCCCGAGAGCACAGAATCCTGGAGAGAAGTGGTATGAGCTGCTCCTCCTCCTCTCCTAGGAGACCAGAATGCTGGGAGGGAATGAAGGGGAGAGGGAAGAGTGGGTGGGCCTGGCTGTGAAGCTCATCCTCCACGGTGGCTGCCTCTTCACTTGGCTTCTGGGCCCTGCAGTGGAAGTTCTCCCACTGCTGCAGCCCCTAGATTCCTGGCACCGTCCCCGCCCCCATACACACACACTTGGACAAATGGAATGTTTATGCCCACCTTTATGAAAGTTCTGGAGTCCTGGGTCTAGGGTTTGCTGATCCCCAAATTGAAACACACTGGGTATAAGATCTGGGCATAGAGGGAGGCTTCAGAGAGACTCACGCTTTCACAGATGGAATGCTCCTATGGAGACTGTGGGAAGATCTTTTGTGCCAAGATGCAGGGAAGTGAAGAAAGCTCTTTCCAGCTGTTTTTATGGATTCATGGAGTGGGCTCACGTTGGGACCAGCTGACTCTGGGAGGAGGACTGCTTCTCTCCATCGCTGTCAGTGAGAGAGAACCTGAAAGAACCAGGAATGAGGTGTTCTGTGCGGCCCGCCGTGGGGATGATCTTCTTTAGGCTCCTGGTCGTGGCTGCATTCTGAACTTAACCTCCTGGTCTCATGGCAGTCACTTGAGCTTTTGATTCATAGAAGAAAGCCAGAGGTTCTGCTTGTTCATGTCTGCCAGCCCTCACCGTTCTTTCTCTTCTGCCTCTCGCCTCTACCCCAGATACCTCTGTTCTTAGTCTCAAGGGGAGAATAACATCAGGGAGCCCCTTCTTTCCCAGGACTTCTCGTTCCTCGAATAGTTTTAACTCCATTTCTTCTCTTGGTGCTGATCGCTCTCTAAGGGTAGGGCATCCCTCCCTGCAGCCACTCTCCCTCTTCAGAGAGCCCCCAGCCAGCAGCAGGTCCCTCTGCCTGCATTCCTCAGCCTTGCCCCTCACTGCCTCAGTGAGGCACTAGTGCCACTGCCATGGCCTAGCCGAGCTATAGCTCAGCTGCAGCAGGAATGCCTCTCAGTGGCCAAAATAGCTGCTTTTCTTTCTGATGTTACCCTGTGGCAACAGGCTGGAACAGGGGCAGGAGAAAGCCTTCTCTCGTACAATAGAGAGGATGCAGGCTCGGAGCTAATGCTCATCCTGATCTCCAAGCCTTGTTCCTCCTCCAGGAAAGAAAAACCAAATCCTGGCCGGGCGCGGTGGCTGACGCCTGTAATCCCAGCACTTTGGGAGGCCGAGGCGGGCGGATCATGAGGTCAAGAGATCGAGACCATCCTGGCCAACATGGTGAAACCCGATCTCTACTAAAAGTACAAAAAATTAGCCGGGCGTGGTGGTGCATGCCTGTTGTCCCAGCTACTCGGGAGGCTGAGGCAGGAGAATTGCTTGAAACCAGAAAAGTTGCAGTGAGCTGGGATCGTGCCACTGCACTCCAGCCTGGTGACAGAGCGAGACTCTGTCTCAAAAAAAAAAAAAAAAAAAAATCCTTATCCAGGAAAAAGCACCTAGCAGCTCCCCTTGGACATCCCTGAGCTCTGCTTTGGGGAGTATCATAAAAGTTCTAGCCTTCGTGAAGTTGCTCTTGTGGAGGTCTTTTGGTCCCTCTGACCTCAGCATCTGCTCACACCCCACTGTCTGCCCGACTCTGGCAGTCTGTCCTGGCAGATCTCCTAAGTGGTCCTTGCTTCGCACTTGGATTCCTGTTTGTGCAGGAGCCTGTGTGCACAGAGCCTCCCTCACTCAGCCTGGCCCTTCTGCTGAGCACTCTGCGCTGCTCTTGATTGGCAACAGTGGGACTGGGCACTCCTAAGAGAGTTGTCTTGTGGCATTACACTGGAATAAGTCTGCCTCTGCCTCACCCTGCTGGCTCCTAGGGGGTTTCACCCCAGGGAGAGTTGACATTGCTGGAGGGTTTGGTGGACTCCTAAGAACCATGAAACCACAGGAGCATGTTTAGGAAGACATTTTTCTCTGGTCCCTGTCTCACAAAGGACACATATGATTAAATATTTATTGTCTTAGATCATGGATTCCTGATCCCTCTCACTCAGGGGGATCGAAAGGAACCCTCTGTAGTCATCCCATGTAAGGTGAGTTTGGTGTACATTGTCTCTTTCCAGTCACTGGACGCATGGCATTAGCTGGTCAACGGTGCTTGGTGCCATGCCCTGCTCACCTCAGTCTCTGCAGGCCATGTCCCAATGCTTCCTCAGGAGATCGGGGCTGGGGTGAGAGAGGCACTGTCTGAGATCCGCAGTCACTCTTGGTGTTGAGCCCATTTGTTTTCAAAACATCTTTCTTTTCTCCACTTCTCCTAGGTCTTGGTTTTGAGAAACAGCAGGCATGGCTGGTCGCAGTGGCTCACGCCTGTAATCCCAGCACTTTGGGGAGTCTGAGGCAGGTGGATCACCTGAGGTCAGGAGTTCAAGACCAGCCTGGTCAACATGGCAAAACCCCATCTCTACTAAAAATACAAAAATTAGCTGGTCGTGGTGGTGGACGCCTATAATCTCAGCTTCTTGGGAGGCTGAGGCAGGAGAATCACCTGAACCTGAGAGGCAGAGGTGGTGGTGAGCCAAAATCACACCATTGCTTTCTAGCCTGACAGTGAGACTTTGTCTCAAAAAACAACAAAACAAAGAGAAACATAGTAGCCCTTTTGTACCAGGCTTTGTGTTGTTGGTTTTTTTTGTTTGTTTGTTTGGAGCATGTTAAGATACTTTTTTAAGATTTTTAAATTTTGTTATATCCACCCTAATTTTTGTTGGTGACAAATGTGTATAGGACATGTAAATGGTTCTTTTTAACCCCTTCTGCTTTTTTTTTTTTTTTTTTTTTTTTTTTTTTTTTTTTGAGAGTTTTCGCTCTTTTTTTTTTTTTTTTCCTTTAGCAGCTTGTTATCACTGGAATCAAAGGGAATAAATGATCTCTTTTTGCATTGGTTGTATTTGTATGTCACAAATAAAAGACACTTTGTTCAGCTGCTGAGATGGCTTCCTGATGCTGGGACACTGTGGGCAATGTGGACCCGGGAAGCCCTAGGCCCTGAGCCTATCCCAGCATTGGGCCCGACTCTCAGGAGGTGCGTGGCTGATGGCCCCGTACCCTGCCCTGTGAAGAAGCCCCAGGCTGGAGAAAACCTCAGGGTGTCTGGGGCAAGCAGCCAGAGGTGGGAACAGACTAGATGTATGTGTGTGCCGCTTCCCAGAAGCTCTGAGTGTGGTCAGAGGTGTTCTGAAGGGTGTACTTGGTATGCATCCTGGAGAGAAAGTCCCAAGCTAGGGCTTGGGACATTTGACATCTGTGTCCCAGCATAAAGTCCAGTGCCTGTGTATGGGAGGTGAATAGACGAGAGTGTTTCTTTCCTCTTCAACTTTATTGGGTTACTCAAAATATTCATCTCTTTTTTTTTTAGAGTTGGGGTTTCACCATGTTGGCCAGGCTGATCTGGAACTCCTGACCTCAGGTGATCCACCCACCTCAACCTCCCAAAGCGCTGGGATTATAGGCGTGAGCCACCTTGCATGGCCAAAATATTATTTGTCTCTTAAAACTCCTGCCCTCTTCCCTCCATTCACAGAAGACAAAGCCTTCAAGGAAGGGCAGCTCATGTAAGGCCTGCCAGGACAGGAGAGTTATGAGCTGGGGGAGGCTCTGACCCCTGATGACAGATGGAGCTGCGCAGCTTGTTCCCCAGACAGGGCTCCTGCCAGGCCCTGGTCCTGTACTTTCTGTGGCCAGTGGAGTGGCTACCCTGCTGTACTCTGCTTGGCGGTCTGCATCTGCTGGAGCAGAGAGTGGGAGACCCTGGTCCACACGGAGCGTTTGGGCCCTGGCAGATCAAGCATCTGGGGAAAGGAGCCACGGTCATACCTGTCCTGTGGGTACCAGCCGTGGCATGTTGTGGCCTCTCACCTGTGGGCAGGGCACACGTGCAGGTGGTTTGTGCAGCTATCTTATCTGAGGCCCAAAGAAAGGTAGCACAGCCCTTCCTTGGGAAGGGAAAGCAATTTGCCTGGCGAATCACACAGCCAGTTTCCCATGTGACGGAATTCTGGCCCCCATGTTCTTTGTTCCTTGAAGGTTGTGTTTTTGTCCCAGGCAGAAACTTCTTGAGATGGCCATCCCCTTGCTAAAGGGTAAATGGCCATAGTTGGAGGGCATTGGGCCATTCCTTCATGCCTGCTGGCTGAATGCAGGGAGAGTTGAGGTCTGCGCCCACTCTTCCTCCGTCTTCACAGTGGCCTGGGCCCTCCGCAGCAGCTGCTTCAGTGAGGTGTGGTATGACTCCAGGGGTCTGTCCATGGGCAGGTGGAGCAAGAGACCCCACTGCCAGGCAGTAGACAGTCTAGAGCCTGGGCTGGATTGAAAGGGACTGTGTCCCCAGAGGGTGGGACGCCACTCACCAGATGTTTCTGCTGCCGGCTTTGAAGGTAATCAGTTCAAACTAGGGGGCAGGCTTTTCTAGTTTTTCCTAGAATACTCTCTCCCCATGTGCAGTAGACGTTGTTCTATACCCCTGAGGACAGATGGGGTCTGGGAAGAGGGAAGGTGTTGCTGCGGAGCCTGGTGAACTACTTGTGGTGGCATTACTCCCATCTAAGGATAAATCGCCAGTGCCATGGCTCACGCCTGTAGCCGCAGCACTTTGGGAAGCTGAAGTGGGAGGATTGCTTGAGGCCAGAAGTTCGAGAAAACCTGTGCATCATAGTGAGACCCTGTCTCTAAAAAAATATTTTTTAATTAGCTGGGTGTGGTGGCAGGCACCTATGATCCCAGCTATTTGGGAGACTGAGGTGGGAGGATTGCCCGAGCCTCGGAGTCTGAGGCTGCAGTCAGCCATGATTGTGCCACTGCACTCTGGCCTGAGTGATAAAGCAAACAAAACCCTGTTCTTTAAAAACAAAAGCAAAAAAAAGTCTAGGCATGGTGTGTCACGCCTGTAATCCCAGCACTTTGGGAGGCCTAGGTGGGCAGATCACTTGAGGCCAGGAGTTCGAGACCAACCTGGGCAACATGGCGAAACCCCATGTCTACTAAAAATAAAAAATTTATTACCACTGATTCTTTAAAAAAAGGAAAAAAAAAAAAGGAAAAATAAAAAATTTAGGCCGGGCATGGTGGCTCACGCCTGTAATCTCAGCACTTTGGGAAGCCGAGGCAGGCAGATCACCTGAGGTCAGGAGTTCAAGACCAGCCTGGCCAACATGGTGAAACCCTGTCTTAAAAAAAAAAAAAAGAAAAGAAAAAAAAGTTTAGCTGGGTGTGGTGGTCTGTGCCTGTAATCGTAACTACTTGGAAGGCAGAGGCTGCAGTGAGCCAAGATAACCCCACTGCACTCCAGCCTGGGTGACAGAGTGAGACTTTCTCCAAAAAAAAAGATAAATTGAGAGTGAAAAGTAAATTGCTCATAGTCCCAGTAGTAAGTGGCAGAGCCAAGAATTGAACACAGCAGCGTAGGAGGTGTTACCCCATTTAATAGATAACCGGGAGCTTGGGAAAGAAAAGTAAGACAGGAGCAAGCCAAGGACAACCACAGCTGTGTGCCTGACTAGGTGCCTTCCCTCCCGTGCTGCCCTCCTGCACAGCGGCTGTGAGAGGCCTAACTTCTTCCTGAACAGGAGCTATGGGCCCCAGAGGCCCCTCCCGCCCCAC